TGATCCTGAGACCAGAGGAATTAGATGGTGCCCAGCTACCACTGTCGACCACTTTGAAAAGGGTCACAATAGAGGGACCTGAACAGAATAGAAGGAAAATGTGGAACAAAGCTCAAAATCATGAAAAAGGCCAGGTTTCTTGGTCTGATGGAGACTGATGGAACTCCTGACTATGGTCCTTAGTCACCCTTCAATCCTGAAACTGAAATACTTCTGTGGTTCAACTTTCAGCCAAACAACAGATGAGACCACAGGCTCAGCAATAATGCCAGGGGGGTATGCCCTCCTTAGAACAATCAATTGATATGAGATCAAAAGGGCAGCGTTTGTCCAGAGATAAAGCTCAGAAAGCATGAAGGGATAGGAAAGAAGGGTGAATGAAAACAGGTAGGAAGTAGGAATCTATTTCATTAAGTATCTCCCTTGTTTGTTGTTGTTAAGTGCTGTTAAGTTGGTTTCAACTCACAGCGGCCTTGTATAGGGTTTCTGAGGAGTGGCTGGTGGGTTTGACCTTGCAGTCCAGTGTCTCCCTTAGGGATTGCAATCAATGTCACCAAACAAAATAAGTATGAGTTGTTGAGTAGAAAACCAATTTGCTATGTAAAATTTCACCCAATTCATAATAAAAGGTTCTAAAAATGTTCTCTTCACTTTCAGCAAGAAAAGTTGTGACATGTGCATATGAAAAATTGTTAATTACTCTTCCTCCAATGCTGATGCCATGTTCATAATCCAGTTTCTCAGATTATTTGCTCAGCATACAGATTGAATAAATATGGTAAGAGGATACAACCCGGATGCACACCATTACCGATTTTAAATCATGATGCATCATCATGCCATGATTTGAATGACTGTTTGAATGACTGCCTCTTGGTCTGTGTACAGGTTCCAAGTGAGCTCAGTTATGTGTTCTAGAATTTCTATTATGTTACCCATAACCTCTTATGATCCACACAGTTGAATGCCTTTGTGTAGTTGATAAAGTACAGATAAACATATTTCTGATAGTCTCGGCTTTCAGGAAAGTTTCATCTGATAGCAACAATGCTACCCCTCATTCAATATCCTATTATGAATCTGGCTTAAATTTCTGCAGATCCCCTGTTGATATATTGCTACAACCATTTTCAAATTATTTTCAGTAAACATTTACTTGCCTGTGGTACTGATGCTATTGTCCAATAATTTCCACATCTCATGGAATACTTTTCTTTGGAATGGCTACAAATAAGGATCTCTTCCAGTTAGTTGGCCAGGTACTTGTCCCTGGAGACTCCCCCCACTCCACCAAAAAATCCCCAAAAAACCAAAACTGAGACTTCTTCCTTCAGTACTATCGATTCTCGATCATATACTACCTCTTGAAATGTTGAACATCAACCAGTTCCTTTTGGTACAATGACTCTGTGTATTCTTTTCATCTTTTTTGAGTGTGTGTGTGTGTGTGTGCACGTCAGACATCTTTATTTCACTCCTGCTATGCCAGGAATTCATAAGGACTAGGTTCTAGCAGCTCAGGCTCCTTTCCATTGGTTCTCACAAAGTGCACCTCTCTGGGGGGAGCAGGCTGGCGCTTTAGTTGAATCCAGGTCCCTTTCTCTTTGGCTTCCTTCTTTTTCTCATCATTTTCCTTCACTTGCTTCAGGAAGCTGTCTCTGCTATTAGAGTGCTTAATATGCTCAGTGCACACATTATTTCTCTTGGCAAGAATCTTGTCCTTGACTTGCTTGTTCACAACAATGTCAACAGCATGATGGATCACATTGTAGACTCTTCCGGTTTTGCCATGGTAACATTTGTGGGGCATGCCTTTTTGAACTGTGCCCATTCCCTTGATATCCACAATATAGCTTTTTTGTAGAATCGCATATATGCAGCTAAAGGAATGACCCCATGTTTTCTGAAAGGCCTGGAGAAGATACAGCAGGTGTCCCACCTCTTTCCCTTTGTGTTCGTCATCTTGGTAGATTACTGCAAGATGGCGGCACCAACCAAAAGGCTCTTTTCATCTTTTTTTTTTTTAATGCTTCCTGTGATGTTCAATATTTTGGCCATAGAATCCTTCAATATTACAACTAGAGAAGTGCATTTTATCTTGTCTTCCAAATTTCTTGGTATAGACAAATGAGCACTTGTAATGTTCCATCTGCTTGTTGAAACATCTCACTTGGTATTCCATAAATTCCTGGAGACTCTTCCCACACAAAGCTTAGACTTCTTCCTTTAGTACTATTGATTCTTGATCATATACTACCTCCTAAAAGGCTGAATATCAACCAGTTCTTTTTGGTACAATAACTGTGTATTCTTTTAATCTTTGTGTGTGTGTGTGTGTGTGTGTGTGATGCTTCTGTGCTGTTCAGTATTTTGCCCACAGAATCTTTCAATATTGCAACTAGAGGCATGCATTTTTTCTTCAGTTCTTTCAACTTGAGAAACGCTGAGCACATTTGTCATTTTTGGTTTTTGAACTCAAGGTCTTTGTACATTTCCTTATAATACTTAATTGATCTAGTATGACCTCAACTGGGATAATTGGTCTACCTCACGTATTCCTCATCCTCCAGTAGACTGGACCAAGCTTGTTCACATGCTGAAGACTGTGCTCCAAGACAGAGCAGAGAAACATACAGCATCTTTTGAGACCTAGGTTCATTTTGACTACATTCTATCTGTCAAAGCCCATTAACAACCTGTTAGCGTGTAATACTTTCTAACAGACAGGAATTTATTTTCTCACAGTTTAGGATGCTGGAAGTCCATATTCAGAAAATTTCAAAGGGCAGCTTAAGAACAAAGTCAAGTTATTATAATGAAAGGTGCAAAGACTTGGAGTCAGAAAACCAAAAAGCAAGAACACACTTGGTATTTCTCAAGCAGAATGAACTGAAGGAAAAATTCAAGCCTGGTAGTAATATTGAAGGACTCTACAGGTAAAATATTGAATGATGCAGGAAACATCAAAAGAAGATGGAAGGAATACATAGAGTTACTTTACCAAAAATATTGGCCAATTTTCTGAAGTTGTAGAACTTGCCAGGTTGACCCAGCTAGCAAGTGAGCTAGTAAGGGGTGAAGCTGGGATTTACACGTGTTATATCCAACACCAGAATAAGTCATTTACACTGTTAAGAACCCTTAATGGTTGGAACCCAAGAGAGGGCAATGAGTTGACCAAGGGCGTATGGAACACAGGGGATAGCACTGGGCCCTGGATCCAGGTCTCCTGATACCCTGCATGTAGTTTTCACATCCTAATGATGACAGTTTCAACTACCACCCACGCCTGGCCTACACCTGGGATGGGTTTATTGGGAGAAGAACCAGGAGGCTGGGTTCTGGGTTGAGTCTCTCCTGGTAGTTGGGTCTGGGAGAGGGCCTCAGGAGAATAAGAGCTCAGTCCTAGCTCTTGTCTCTGTTCTTGGTAGGCTAAGTGGCAGCGCCTAGCCTTGGATGGCAGTGCTCATCTGGACATGTTTGAGCACATCAGCCTCATGACCCTGGACAGTCTGCAGAAATGCATCTTCAGCTTGGACAGCCACTGCCAGGAGTGAGTCCTAAGCCTGGATCTCGGAACTTGGACTATTGACCCAAAGGACTAGGTGGGGAGGGAGGACTGACCAAGGTAACCAGAAGAACCTTCCTGGAGGAGATGGGTCAGAGCTGGGCAAAGAAGGACAGGAAAAGGGAGAGATAAAATGAGGTTCTTCCAGGTTAGTGGGAATGTTTGAATAAAGGCAAGAAATCTAGGATGAGCAGATCATGTGCAACAAGCAGTGAGGAGACATGTTAGATATGAAGCTGGACAGTTAGATGGGGGCTAGATTTTAAGGGGTTTCAAAAGTCAGGCAAAGGGTCTCAGACCTTTATGCAGAGGTTTCTAGGGAGCCATGGGGTGTGGTGTCACAGCCGAGCTTTGGAAATCTGACTTTGTGAAAGACTATCATGTTGATATTGGATGGAGAAGTTTTGAGGTTCATATAGAGTATGGGGAACTTTGAGAGTTACCTATGTAGAAGAAGGGGTAAGACCAGATTCTGGGAAGAAGGAGAAAGCATGGTGCCAAACCTCTGCCTGGTGCTCTGGTGCCTGGAGGCAGCTCTTAGTGATGAGAATAGAAGCCTAGGGGGCAACCTGACCCTGTGGTTCAGGGTGGGAAGTGATCCCAGGGTTTCATGTGAGTTAGGGACATCCAACCTGTCTCTGACTTGGCCTTGCAGACGTCCCAGCGAATATATTGCTGCCATCTTGGAGCTCAGTACTCTCGTAGTGAAACGGCATCTTCAGATCTTCCTGCACATGAACTTCCTCTACTACTTCACTCCTGATGGGCGGCGCTTCCGCAGAGCCTGTGACCTGGTGCACGACTTCACAGACGCTGTGATCCAGGAACGGCGTCGTGCTCTCAGTTCTCAGGGGACTGATTACTTCCTCAAGGCCAAGGCCAAGACTTTTGACTTCATCGATGTGCTCCTGCTGGCCAAGGTGGGTTTTTCTGGGACCTGTGTTGGAGAGTTGGGCAGTACCTCAATTTCAAATGTCATATTGAAGAGCTTGGGTTTAATTCTGAAGACACTGAGGAGTTATAGAAGATGTTTGAGGTGGGGAAAGGATGGTTTAGAGTTATGTATTAAGGATCATTTGATGGGATTTTGTTTGGAGAAGCAAGGAGACAAGAAGGCAGCCCAGGGGCTTTGAGGATGGTTGGGGGGGTACTGTGTGGATGATGGATACTAGAGTCATCAGAGATGGGGTGATTCAGGCATGGTGGTGGTCTTCCTTTCTCTCCAGGATGAAGCAGGAAAAGCATTGTCAGATGAGGATATCCGAGCGGAGGCCGACACCTTCATGTTTGAGGGTGAGGGTCCCAGCATGGGATTGTACTGGGGTCAGCAGACTATTCTTTACAGGGACTTGGCAGGTGGACACATAACTCCATTCTGTCATACCCTCCCTCATTCTCTTTGAGGATCTCAATGCATAAAAGGCAGTGGAAGCAGACAGTGACCCAAACCTACCTGGTTGCCCCTCAGGCCATGACACCACAGCCAGTGGCCTCTCCTGGGTCCTGTACAACCTTGCCAAGCACCCAAAATACCAGGAGCGCTGCCGACAGGAGGTGCAAGAGCTCCTAAAGGACCGGGGGACAGAGGAGATTGAATGGTGAGTGCAGACTCTCAGGACCTCTTCCCAGAGCCCCTTTGCTTGGCTCTGCCTCAGGTGGGTATGAAGGAAGATCTTCCTGCCAAGTTTCCATTATTACCTTGTGGAGCAGAAGTCACAGGCAGGGTCTGTAACTCCGCCCAGTTGGTAGAAAAAATTGCCAGCTCGTGTTGGAAAGGTCTGGTGACTGACTGTTGATGTTTGGTGTGCCATAACTTGCTGTATGGCTTGAATGAAGTTAGTTGCCTTTTTTGAATATTACCCTTTTCTCTTCTATAAATGGGGCAATCTCCACCCCACAGGGCTTCTTAAAGGATTCATGACAATGTATGTTTACATAAACTATCTCCCCTACCTTGTTTTCTGTCTGAATTTACATGGTTTTCAAAGGTATTCTTGAATGCTTGTTCATCCTTCCCCTACTCCCCACTGCATATTCCATCTCAAGGGTCCACTAGAGATCTGTTGGGGGTAAAAGTCATCCACCTCTCTGTTCAGCAAACTCTTTGTACTGCCTGTCCTCCAGCTCTGTACCCAGATCCCTTGTTGTCAAGGCAGGGCAGAGAGAAAGGTCAGCCAGAATTGAATGTCAGCGCAGAGTTCAGGTTAGAGCTGGGTTTTAACAGATCTTTCTGTGACTTGGAGTAAACTGGAGGGGATGCTCTAGATATCTGGTGTCCAGAAAGCAGATGCTGGGCTGGGTGCTGTAAAGAAGGCATGAACATCAACAACATCTCCTTACATCAAAGCTTTGCTGAACACAACATTCCTGTGAGGTGGAGAAATACTTTTGTGCTTCCCCCAACTTAAAAAAATGTATATATTTGGTACAAATGCAAAAAGTGCAAAATGGTTTTCAAGGAATTTGAACCTCTGCCATAAGCCAGTGTCTCACTGCTGTTCCTGCCTTCAATGGTTTCTCATGTGCCCTTATGTGTGGACAGTGTCCAGTCTTATGCATATGTTCATGTGTTCACAGTGTTTCCTGTCTTGCTCATTCTCTCTCTTTCTCTGGGAATAGTAATTCAGATCTGCACATTAGCAATATGTCTTCCAGATCTTTTCTTTCTTTCTTTTTTGGAAATTAAAATATTAAGGAATAATGACAACTTTTTTTTTTTTTTTGCACATAAGGAAGCCTCATTAGAAGATCAAAGGTGACTAATTCCACGTTTGCTCCCATTGTCACCAAATGTATTTTCCGCGAGGTCTCTAGACCCACCAACTTGTCATATGTCCTTTTAGAACATTCTCTTTGCATTGCCATACATGGACATTTTGCTACTTGTTCTGTTCAATCAGCACCATGTCTTAGAACTCTTTCTTTCTGTGTGTTGCATGCTATGTGCTCAGCATGTTTACTAGCTCACCTCTCCTGAGGACACATGTGTAAACATTTAAAGCTCTAACAAATATTGCTGAATTGCCTTCCAGAGTCTCTGTGTTGAATTACCCTCTAGATTACAGTGTGTTATGGGATAACTGACCCTGATTTCCCCCTTTTTGATACTTGTATAATATTTCTTTGTATGGATGGGTGTACCATAACGTATGTAAACATTCCCCCATTGATGAGCTCTGTAGTGTTTCCAGCCATCTACTAATATAAACATGTTGCAGTGCGCATCTGTATACACTGATTGCCTGTATTGCTTGCCTGTAGGAGTGTTTCTGTGGGACAGATTCCTAGAAGTACATCTACTGAATCAAAGACCACTTGAGTTTCATAACTTGATAAAACCAAACCAAAGCTATTGTCATTGAGTCAGTGCTGATTCCTGGTGATGCATGCATTCCAGAGTAGAACTGTGCTATGTAGGGTATTTATGGCAGTGGTCCTTTAGAAGTACATTAACAGGTTTTTCTTCTGAGGTGCCTCTCTGTGGATTTCAACCTTCAAATTTTCTGTTAATAGTTGAGGGCTTAACCATTTGCACCAATCAGGGACTTCACAACTTAATAACTTTTGGAAAATCTACTCCTACAAACACAATTTTAAAGATGAGCAATTTCCCTGTGTCCTCATCAGCACTGTGCATTGTCAAACCTTGGTTAACTCAATAGGTGAATTGTGGTACTCCATTATTTTATTTTATTATTCTTTTAAGCAAGCAAGAAGATTTATTAAGCACAGACATTCTTGTAGAGATGAGAATGGGCTTCCACCTCGTGAGTGAAGTGGAGTGCCCAGTGAGTTCCTTGTTCACTTTTTATACTGTTTTCTTTGGTACTCCATTATTTGAATAGGCATCTCTTTAATTATGACAAAGATTGAGGACCAAGAAGCAGTTCTTCAATCAGAACATGGGAACACTGAATGGTTTAAAATTAAGACAGCTGTGCAACAGGGATGTATTCCTTCACCATATTTACTCAACCTGTATGTTGAGCAAATCATCCAAGAAGCTGGGTTCTATGAAGAGAAACGTGGCATCAGGTTTGGAGGAAGACTCATTAACAACCTGCGCTATGCAAATGAAACAACCTTGCTTGCTGAAAGCCAAGAGGACGTAAAATATTTACTGATGAAGATCAAAAAACACAGCCTTTGGTATGGATTACATCTCAATGTAAAGAAAACAAAAATCCTAACCACTGAACAAATAAACAACATTTTTATCAATGGAGAAAAGATTGAAGTTGTCAAGGACTTCATTCTTCTTGGATCAACTATCAACACTCACGGTAGCAACAGTGAAGAAATCAAATGACATATTGCATTAGGTAAATCTGCTGCACAATACCTTTTTAAAGTGTTGAAGAACAAAGATGTCAGCTTGAGAACTAAGATACTCCTGACCCAAGCCATGTATTTTCTATAACCTCATATGCATGTGAAAGCTGGACAATGAATAAGGAAGACTGTAGAAGAATTAATGCTTTTGAGTTATGGTATTGGAGGAGAATATTGAAAGTACCATAGGCTGCCAAAAGAACCAACAGATCTGTGTTGGGAGAAGTAGTCAGAGTGCTCCTTGGAGACCAAGATGGCTAAACTTCATCTCTCATACTTTGGACATATTGTCAAGGAGATCTTGCTTGGTAAAGTAGAGGGTCAGTATACAGACTCCTCATGAGCACAATTAAGTTTTCTGGAATACTCATACTTTGAAATATTGTCCATAGCTTGTCATGGCCCACACAATTAAAATCCTTTGCGTAGTCAACAAAGCACAGGTAAGCATGTTTCTGGTATTCTCTGCTTTCAGCCAAGATCTATTAGACATCAGCAATGATATCCCTCATTCCACGGCCTCTTCTGAATCTGGCTTGAACCTCTGGAAGTTCTCTGTCAACGTATGCTTGCAGCAGTTTCTGTATTACCTTCAGTAAAACTTTACTTATGTGGGATATCGAAGAGATTGTCCAATGATTTCTACATTTCCTTGGGTCATCTCTCTTTGGGCACAAATATAGATCTCTTCCAATCAGTTGGCCAGATAGTTGTCTTCCAAATTTCCTGGCATAGATGACTGAGTGCCTCCAGTGCCGCCTTGCTTTCTGGAAAGATTTCAATTTTTATTCCATCAACTCCTGGAGCCTTGTTCTTTGCCAATTCCTTCAATGCACGTTGGACTTTGTCAGTATCATTGGCTCTTAATGATATAGTACCTCTTGAAATGGTTGAACATCAACCATTTCCTTTTGGTTCAGTGACTGTGTATTCCTTCCATCTTCTCTTGATGCTGTCTGCATCATTCAATAATTTGCCCAGAGAATCCTTCAATAATAAATGTCGAGGCTTGAATTTTTACTTCAGTTCCCCCAGCTTGAGAAAGGCTGAGCATGTTTTTCCTTTTTGGTTTTCTGACTCCAGATCTTTGCACATGTTTTTGTAATATTTGACTTTGTCTTCTCGAGTTGATCTTTGAAATTTTCCGTTCAACTCTTGGACCTCCTCATTTCTTCCATTTGCTTTAGAATCTCTACTCTGGAGAGCAAGTTTTAGGGTCTCTTCTGACATCCATTTTGATCTTTTCCTCCTTTCTTATCTTCTTGATGACTTTTTGCTTTCTTCATGTATGATGTTCTTGATGTCATCCCACA